ATTGAGGGAGCTCTGCTGTCCTAGTAGTAAGAACCTGCATTTCAATTCCAAAGGCACACAGTTCAAATCTACCAGCTGCTCTGTGGGAGAAGGAGGAACAGTCTCCTTCCATGCGATTTACTGCCTCTGAAAACCCTCTGGAGGGTGAGCTACCTATGAGTCAGTTCCAACTTGACTGTACTCTACAACAACAACATATATATTAGGAGCTCTGGTAGTATAGTGCATACATAGTATGTTGTGTTGCTAACCAAAAGGTCTACTGTTCCAGTCTACCAGTAGGTCCAAAGAAGAGAGATGCACAGCACAGTCTCTTCCCATTAAGATTTATAGCCTCACAAACTTGCTGGAGAGTTCCTATGAGTTAAACTTAACTCTATGACCATGGATTTGGTTTTTGGTAGTTTTGTTACTATCTCATTTATCCCCAGTGTAGCCCAATTACATACATTAGGTATTGTTATAACCACACTTTTGTTGTTATGTGATGTCAAGTGCTAATCATCTTGATTCTATGAACCACCGATTAAAACTGTGCCTTATCTTGCACCATCCTCACAATCTGCGCCATGCTAAAACACATTGTTCTAGTCCTATGTCAGTCCATCTTGTTGAAGGTCTTCTTTACTTTCTCTCTTTACTTTTCCCAGCATGAGGTGTTTTTCCAAGGACTAGTCCCTTCTGATAACATACCAAAAGTATGTGAGACAGAGTTTCACCATCCATGCTCTTACAAACACCCTGGTTGCACTTCCTCCAAGACATTATTTATTTATTCTTTTAGCAGTCCATGGTCCATTTTCCTTCTTTATTGTGCAACTTTGAAATGCAACTGAAAATGCCATGTCTTGGATCGGTCACATCTTAGTCTTTAAAGTGATTTCATTGTTCTTTAGCACTTTGGAGAAGCCCTTGACAGGAGAGTTTCCCAACACATCTTTGGATTTTTCCCCCTTTCTAAATATCTTTTTTAAATTTTAGTGAAGGTTTACAAAGAGATTGGTGTCATTTTTTCATTCAAACACTTTCCTCCGACCCCGACCTCAGTTCCCTTTTGTAATACATGTCCTGTTCCAGGCTGTTGTTATACACAATGGAATAATATTCAGCATTGAACAACAATGAACTTGTAAAACACTATACAATGTATATGCATATGGAAGACATTATGCTGAGTCTTTGGATTTCTTGACTGCTTGTACTAAGGGTATTTTCTGTGGATCCAAGCGAGATGGAATCATTGACCATTTAAATTTTTTGTCCATTTACCATGATATTGCCTATTAGTCCAGTGGTGAGAATTTTTGTTTTCTTTATGTTGAGATATAATGTATATTGTAGGCTGTGGTCTTTGATCTTCTGCAGTATGTACTTTAAGTCTTCTTCACTTTCTACAGAGAAGGTTGTGTCATCTGCATAACTCAGATTATTGATGAATTGATGCCACATTCTTTTTCATATAGTCAAACTTCTCGAATTATTTGCTCAGCATACAGATTTTATACCTATGGAGAAAAGATCTATCACTGACACACACCTTTCCTGATTTTAAACCATGCAGTATTTCATTGTTCTATATGAATAGCTGCTTTTTGATGTATGTATAAATTTCATAGCATAATTAAATGTTCTGCAATTACCACTCTTTTGTTGTCTGTAACTTGTTTGACCCACACAGTCAAATGCCTTTTCATATTCAATAAAACACGAGTGAGGACCTGTTATGCTCTACTTTCAGACACGATCTACCAGACATTAACAATATTATCCCTATTCCATTCCATTCCATTCCCTCTCCTCTTAATCCTGCATAAATATTTGGTTTGATATCGTGTAACTTCAAACTTGATGTTCTTTCTAACAGCCAACTGAGAGTGTGCAGGTAAAGAGAAAGGAATTCAGTGTTAGTCTAATCATCCATGTGAATCCATTGTGTTAAGGCCAACACAACAAGGATAGCTTTTACTGTCGTGTAGGAGTTGTGAAGGTGGTAGCCTCTGCAGCCAAACTGCTTGGACTTCAGTATTGACCTTGGCCTATTAACATAAACAATTAGGGTGAGTTAACTTCCCTATGGCTCACTTAAATGAGATTGATAATAGAATC